GGGGCGCCCCGGGGCGCAGCCCCCTCAGCACGGGCACAGCCGAAAGGCGCCGGCCGCCCGGGACTGCGCGGATCCGTTCTAAAACCTTCGGAGAGGAAGGCTTCTAGTTAACGTCAAACCGCTGCTTTTCAACGGGGTTTTAACTAGATAACGAATAATCCCGCCAGCCGGTTGGTTAGCGGGGATATTTTCGGCTGGTGGTTTCAGATTCGGTGTACCTGCTTCTGCTGATGCTGGGTGGCCTTAGTTGAGTGCATCTCTAAACTAAACACTTTTTTTTTTTTTTTTAATGGCTTTGTTCCTGATTTTGCGTGGAGTGGCTCCATAGATAGCTGTGTAGCTGGGTCACCTTAAATCTAAATGAGAACTCGGCAGTATTTGCTACCAAACGAAAGTGCATCCAGTTCTGTGTAGGAATAACTTTTTTCCTTAGGTGGTCCCGTTGAAGTCACAGCTCTCTGGCAATGTAAATGACCACTGTATTAGTCCTTGTGATCCTTATCTTTAAAACTTCATTAAGAGGCGTCCTGGGAGGGTAACTGGCTGCTAGCTTCAGCTCGAGTGGGATTCCACCTTCTCGTTCCTGCAAATAGCCCCGTGCAGAGAAATTAATTGGAAGGCGTTAAAGCAGCGGTATCAGACGCACCCACCCAGTTTGCAACTAAGGCGCGGTTAGAGCTCCGTGATCCTGCATGAAATGAATGTCCCACTGACAGATTTCAAAACCTTAGCAGCCCTGGGTTAAATCCTTCCCCACTTTTTTATCTAATTATTCAGTGCAGGTATACTAAACGTCCTCTGAACCCAATGGGAGCTTTCTTTCATTTAAATAGTTCCTCCTCATCGGTGGCGTGGCAGTTCCAGAAATTGTTATCCCGCCCAAGTTAATAAGAGCTTTCTCTGCCCGGTGTGAACCACGGAGTAATAAACATTGAGCCCTTTGCTGCCTGCCTCGGGGGAGGGAGCACGAAATGGGGTGTTGCCCACACAAGTGTCCAGTTCTGCACAGGCTGTTCTCCTGCTGCCCAGCCGCTTCTATCAGTCAGTGAATGCCTCCTGCTAGCGGGTCCTGGCGGTGGCCCTGCTGGGGGGTTTCTCCCCCCTGCCTGGTATTTGAAAGTGGCTTTGAAAGCCTCCCTAACTGAACCTTATCTGTGTAGGAGTCACCCATTGAAAATCTGTCTTTCCCCCTTTTGATATGTTTCTGAAATGAGCCCCTTTGGCGCTGGGTGGAATTTTGCAGGTCAAGGTTATTGGCTTGCGAAGCCAAAGTTACCCGTGGTGTTTGCAAGTCTACACCCCCTATTTGGGGTGCCTGTATTGCAAGAGCTGTTACTATTTTCTCTAACGGTATTACGCATCTGTATTAGAAAAATGTTGCTGTTGAACATGGAAATGGAGGGAAATCCCGTCCAAGTTACCCAGGAGAATTTCCAGCAAGAAAAGCCCATGATCACAGCCTGTAATCTGGGATAGATTTCAAAGCTTCAGATACAGTGCAAATCAGTCACCTGGCAAGTTGCAGGGTAGGTGGCTGTAAAGCCCCCAGCCTCGTGTTTAGCCCCTGGACAAGATGTCATACTTGGCACGGGAGGGTGGCTGTGCAAAACTGATCTGACAGTTCAGATGAAGCCGAAAGGCTCCTCTGTGTCTTCAGTAAGCAGGGAATGCATTTTGTTTGCATCCACGTCCAGACTGCATAGTGCTTGTGGGCTTTGCTGGTGCCAGCTAAGCTATGGAATAACATCAGTGTTGGGAAAGAAATGGGGAGCTCCTGCTGCTCCAGGCCTGGCCAGCTGTGCGCTGTGTGTGATGCTGGCTGAGATGCTTGCAGGATGGTTCGCAAGATTTGCTGTGCTGCTGCCACGATAGCTCTCTCCGTATAGTGTACTGTGCACTGAAATTCCCTTGAAGGGATAGATTTCCAGCAAAGAGACAGCAAGGGAGCCCAGCGAGCTTGGGCAGAGTAGCAGATTGCGGGTATAACCCCTCATAAAGAGGTGCTTTGTATTGCTGAAGGGACACAGCAGAGCCTTGCAGGCAAATGAATGTCTTACCCCCAGCAGCTGTGTATCAGCAGAGAGGAGGGTAGCGACTCTGCACTTTCCACAGTATGCTTTGCCTGAGGGCAACTGTGTCAGGTGAATACAGTCAGCTTCAATATCTTCATGTGGCCTTGTTGGAGGGAAATTTGTATAGCAACCAGCATTACACAGGTTTGTTCATACATGTTTGCACAGAAAAAGTGATTGGTTTTAAATAGCTCTATAACCTCCTTTTATATCTTCCTCTACCCGTTGGCTGGATCATGGCATCAACACTCCAGAGAGTACCAAGAGGAAAAAACCAGCCTTGAGTTTAAGTCTTTCATTGTTGCCATTATAAACTGTGCTCAACCCAGAGAGCACGCCCTATGTCTGTCTTCTTGTTACCAGGTTGCGCTGAGAAGGCAGCAAGCTCAGGAAGAGGAACTGGGAATCAGCCGCCCGGTGCCCCTGCCCAGTGCCCCTGAAGTATTCGTTAAGAAGAACAGTGGTGGCAGCTCTTGTGCCTTGTTGGAAAACGGCAGCCCTACGCACCCGACAAGTACAGCCATGACATCAGCTAGCGCACCGTCAGGTAAAGTGCTGGGAGAGCGATGCTCGCGGCTTGGGGCAAAGGCGGGCGTTGCGTATGCCTGCCTGCCGTTGCACCCCTTCCCCCTGCATGCAGCCGGCGGCGTTGCAGAGGGTCCCCTCTCTGAGAATGGTGTTGCACTGTTGGTACGGTTAGCAGAAGGGAAGAACCCAGGATCAGCCTTTCATATATTAATTGATTGCTTTTACTTGAAAATCAAAACTAGTTTGGTATAGACTGGCGCTGTACCTGAATTCAGTAGGGCGTGTACCTGCAAGGAGAGATTTATGAGGAGCTTCTCTCCTTTCTGCCAAAATCTGTGCTTCTGCCACAGTCCTGGCAACTGTGTCTTGGCTGGCTGTGCATCTTCTTCAAAATCAGAGAGTTTTCAGCCTTATATAGGAGCCAAGCGTGTAGGTAATGTTGCTGACTCCAGCAGCAGAGAGCTGCCCACCGTATGTGACTTGATGAGGTGGTACATCTGTTCTGCGTGGCCAGGTGTGATGAACTACGAAAGACTGACGCAGCCCTTCCACTCTACTACACCTTGCTGTATTGCATTTAGCCCTTGTAAAACAAAACAAAACAACCTCCAAAACCAAAAAACCAAAAAATATTTGTCTGCAGATTCAGTAAAACCATGGCTAAGCGCAAGCGCGACTTGAAGGCGCTGAAGTGAAGACTCTAGGCAAAATGTTTTTTCCTATGCAGAGCTTATGCCTGACAGATACAGCAGTTGAATATGTATAAACATGAAACTGATGTAATTGACTTGTGCTGTATAGACAGTAAAAAGAAAAAAGCAAACAAATGCAGAGGGAAGGAAAAGGAAATGCTGTTCGTTTTTAATCATCTGTGCTGTTGTCAGTAACACAGGTGAACATACTTCTTGGTAAAAAAGATGCTTCTAAAGTGGACAGTGCCTTGCATTAACTAATAAAAGGACAGCACATATGTGTGTCTGTCAAACGACATCACTCTGTTCTGCAGGCCATTTAAAGCCTTGTCAGATGGATTTGTTGCATCCATTGCAGACAGGCAGTTTCAGACCGATGTGGAGGAATTTCTTTGGGACGCTTTAAGAACTGGTTGATAAAACAATAAATAGATTTTTATTAGCTTTTTTGTTTTCATTATTGCAGTCATGTTAGTGTCATCTTTGAATCAACGCAATTACTTCATTCATATTTGTATTACTGCATGCTTTGTCTATAGACATGGAAAAAGCTGGCTAAAGATTAAAGTAGTATATTCAGTAATGTATAGAGATTGTGTGTAACTCAGGAGAACAAGAAAACCCTTGCTTATACAGAAAGGCCAAAAAATGAAATTATCTTACTGTAAACAAAATTTGCAAAAGCTTTGATCTTAATGTTTTTAAAATGCCAGTGGAGGTATTTAATTTATTAATCCTACTTTAATAATTAATTTCTTATTAAATGAATTAAATTATGATCTTCTAATGAAAAACATTGATTAAACAAGTTTAAAGCAATTCACAAGCTTGTATCAAGACTTGAAAGTGTGAAAATGCAATTCTAATGTGATTTGAATTGTTTGGAAATTTTTGGTCAAAGCAGTTGTAAATGGTTTGCAGTCATCTTCCTTACAGTGGGGTTTTTTTTGCGAGCAATTAAAATACATTGTTTCTCAAACATTTTACTAAATAATGGTGTGAGGGTGACAACATTTAAAATATACAACTTCATCTCCAGAAGGAAGATGTGGTTCCTTCCAAGAATCAAGGCAGGGCCAGCTGTGTGTATCAGAAATTGAAGAATCTGGGAATGAATAGGGAATTGGGTCCATAATTTTGTTTTTAGGCAGCTAAGTAGCAACAGAAATTCATGCTTAGCTCCAAAGCAACTACACTGCATAAAGTTCTGTCTCAAATAATTTTGGTGGGTTCATCTGTCAAAGGCAGTGTCTGTACTCGTGGGTATGGAATTAACACCACCAGTGACTGCATGCTGGTTCTGAAGCTGCAGAAGGTGCTCGGCGTTCAGCCAGACCGGTAGGGTGGCTTCGTAGGATGTCAGAGTACAGGCTTCACTCTGGAAAGTCTTGATTTTCCAGTGAGAAATACTGCTTCTGATGCTTTCGTTTTTTTAGCGTATAAAGGTCTTTCGTTAGATAGGAAACTGCCAGGAGTGATGTGACATGAAGTTTTTGTTTTAGGCATCAGGTTTTTTCAGGACTGGGTACTGGAAGGATTCTTGCATTGCTGTTTTATCATTTTACTGGTACCCTCAACTGCAAGCAAAATGAGAGACCCTGTTGGAGCAAGTGTCGCGGTGTCTCGGTTTGGGAGGCTGGGATGATGATTTTTCAAGAATTTACAGTGAAACCCTTTGTGGCAGGGGAAGTCAGCAGCTCCCTGCAAGCCCCAGGGGAACCGGCGGCTCCTGGGAGTGCAGTGTGCCCTGTACGACACGCATTAGACGGGGCAAGAGATGCTTTTGACAGTGGTAATTCTGTTCCTCCTGTAAGTTTTGGGCTTCACAAGAGCAGTTTTTCTTTTGGACTCCCATCACACAGAGCGTTGTTTGCCAGCAGAGGACTAATGTGTGAAGGAGTCACACAAATCAGACATAGTGCCAGAGAGAGAGTCTTTCCTCGCTGTATCCATTTTATTGGCAGATCAGAAATATTGTGACACCTGGAGAGACCAGAGACAATTTTTCAGATCCCTTTGTGACATGCTGTTTTTGAAAAGGGGAAAAATGAATTATCACAGTCATAGCGTATGGGTTTGCGCATTTACCATCTCAAGCTTGGAAACCGTGTTTACTTTGGATGGAGCATATCTTCCCTGCTCAAAAGCAAACTGGGAATTTGCAGGGTTGTTGGAAAGGAGCAGACCGTGGTCTCAGGGCATTAGCAGAACCTCTTGCAAACAGATTTTATAGTTTCTGTGCATTTTCCCTTAAAAAGTTGCAGGTTGCTGAGAGCAGAGGCCATTTAATTGTACAGAGCAGCAAAAAGTCATGATCCCAGGGCATCTAAAGTAATTGCACCTCCTTTTGTAGAGTAAGTACATCTTGTTAGGTTAACTAGTATGCAAAACTCAGGAAAAGATTATGGTGAGGCATTTAAAACATGCCTTTCAGACATACTCATTTTTTAAAACCTCTGTTCTTCCCTGTTCCACGTGAGTTTGGTACCTCTGCCATTTTAATACTTAGAAATCACTGGGGGGCGGCAGGGGGGGAAGCGTGATCATGAAACACCTTCAGGTGAGAGCTGCTAACACTAAGGGAAGAAGACAGCACATTTCACTTTTCCTCCCTTTTATTTGGTCCTCGTCACAGACTAAGGGTCATGTTTGGCATTTGGCGGATGGGGTGGGGTGGCTGCAATGGACGCCACCTGATGCCTGGAAGGTGCTTTAAAGCACCCCTTCTTTCTGCTGCTCTTGTGCTCATGTTGGCCCAATTTAGAAGCATCCAATATAGATGGGGTTACTGTAAGATGCTAAATGCCAGCTCCTGCTCCTGTCGGTTTCCCGTTGGCTTTGCAATGACCACGCATAACTGCATTGTTCAGGTGGCTTCCTAGCATCACTGGTTAACGAGTTAAACATGTCATTGTCAGCAATTGTGAGTAAGCTTTCGCTTGTTATTTCCCTTTGCTACATTTATTATGTGTGACAGAAACAAAATAGTGTTCTTTTTACGTTTCTGTAAGTAGGTGCTGCCTTCACTTTGAAACTTTGAGGAACAGATGGGGTTTTATCTGCTTGTAAATACGGACTGTAATTGGGTCAGTAGTAATACTGTGCCTAGTGAATGGTGGTACTGAGATCCCTTTGAACTTGCAGTGCCCTAGATGCCTCTGAAAACCCTGACTTACCTTCTTTACTCTTCCTTTGCTTTTTTGATGTCCTCTTTTGCATTGACCTTTTCTACGATACTGTATTGTGATTTCAAAAGTTGATGCAATGACCTTGCTGATGTTGTGCTGCATAGGTAATGAGTTAAAAAAAAAAAAGTTATTATAATTGGAAGATGTCCTGGCCTGGTTTTAAAAGAAGTGAGAAGTTTTGGTTTTGAAAGAAGGTCCTTTTAAGTCATCACAGCATAGTGTCATATGCTGTCAGAATTTTGGTTTTGTCAGAGAAATGTCATTCTAGTCAGCTGATGGGCAACTGAGGAAGCTGCCATGGACATTTCACCATGAGAGTTGCTTAAGCACTGGGACAGGTTGCTCAGAGAGGTTGCGGAGCCTCCATCCTTGGGGAGACTCAAAACTCAGCTGGATGGTGCCTGAGTGACACGATCCAACTGTGAAGCTGGCCCTGCTTTGAGCAAAGTTTGGGCCAGCTGGCCTCCAGAGGTCCTTTCCAAACCAAACTATTCTGTGAATTGGTGAAATGCCTACTTTTTTATATTGACATTAAGTCAACGAACTGAAATTTGAAATTTGGCCAGACTCAATACTGATCAGCATTTGCAAGCATGGGAAAGAAATCCTGACTCTTTTGACCTAAAAACACTCGATGATTAAACCTATGGTAGATTTCAACAGAAAATTAGCATCATGGTGGTTGCTAGGTGGTGGAGAGGATTGCTAGCTCAAGTGGCAGCATCCTCAGCAGGGCTGAGCAGTAAGGAGGAGGGAGCGTTAGTTGCTTTGCCTGCTTCTGCCAGAGCTAATCCGATGGCTGCATGTCCTCAGAGGTCTTGGTGGGTCTGCAGTGGTTACTGGTTCATCATCCTGCTCTTTCATTTTGTCTTTGTCTCCCCGTTAATGATGATTTTCTCCCACTGCACCCACTACTACTCCTTCACCAGTTTTAGTTGCTGGCTGCCTCTTGGTCCTGCCAACTCTCCTTCAATACTGAGAACCAAGTAGCCCCATCCATTGCTTCCTGGTGCTTTTCCTCAGCTTCTCCCACAGCCAGCAAATCTCTGTTCAAAAGAAAAGAGCATAGTGTGTCTTTACTGGATTGTAACAGCTGGCAAAGAAATAAGTTTTGCTTCCTTCACCTGTGAATAATGCCT